GCCACAGACGCGTCGGAAGCTAACCTCACAGCGTAAAACAGCTGCCAGAGGCAGGTATGACCTGTGCGTCGCAATAATCAACATTGCCTAAATCATTCCGAAAAGTCAACGCGTCAGATATCATTCTGACGAGGACAACTACACCCACCCCACCTCCCTCGGTATTGAAACCATTTTCTCGTTGATGGTGATATTTTCCGGCATCCGAATCCGCGTGAACCAAGAAGTTCTGTTTTTTTTAAGTAGTACGAGTGATTCCTATAACCCCCCCCCACCCTCTCTCCGAAAAATTCCACTTTCTTCATTCTGAATGCATACAAGGACATATGACAGCAGTGACTGCTGCCTTTGCACAAACCTTTTTCTCAAGCTTCACCGATACGTCGTGACGGTGAATGGCTGGCGGCTTGTGCGACAAAACTCGTTGTTGCTACCGTGAAATTTATGCTTTTACTGTTGTTAGCGGCAATTTCGTAATAAACTTTTTTAGGTTAAATATGCCAACATTTCCCTGGTTTGCCGGTTCAAAACACAAGTGTCGCCCGCGAGGACGATTACAACGAAATACGTTGTCTGTAAATGAACACATTCCTCAAGGGTGTCTCAGAAAAAAAACAATATCACTTAGTTATTTAATAGTTAATTTAAGGTTGACCTGTCTGATCATAAATGATATGGGTTGTCATAAGCATATCAAAATTTATTTGACACCGTAATATAATGATAATATGAAAAACTGCATTGCAGAAAGTCACCATACTATAGCAAATCTGAACCGAACATTGGCATGACAGTAACCAACAAAGTTATGCATCATAACCTAGATCCATCATGTTTCAGCTGGTTTACTGCTAAATACGCTTAAACGTGTAAAGTATTACAGAAATGAATTTTACGGTGATGAATCATGTATTTCTATCACTTTACAGCCTACGCAACGTTACAATTACATGGTAAAGTACTATATGGACATATTGCATAGTATTAGTCAACAGAGCATACGTAATATGTTATTAGCATTAACCGCATACCGCAACACAACACAGAACTAGATGTTATATCTCTAGTGGTAGCAGCTACATTGCGTAGTACTATGAAATAGAGCCGTATAGCACTACGTCATACAGTTTCATCATTGCGTGAAATTTACAATACTAAGAGAGGGTACTGGTGCACTGTCATGCTGCACATAGTTACAGAATCTAGCCACACAACAATCTACCGTATAACTGTAACATCGCACGCTACAACAGAATCTCAACACAGCAATGTTCTACCAAACCGTAGTTTTGAAAGCAACTTTGTAACCTAGCCATGTAACAGTATAACACGAGTTCCATGATCTATTATTACCCTACACATGATGGTATTTTTTCATATGGATATATTACTGAGTGTTTGACCATACCAACGTAGTAATGTACAGTAGTACAGAAGCGCAAAACTAGACTACACGACAACGGGTAAGTGGTCATACAATCGTGCAGCAGCAAACCACGCAGGTTCACCACAGTTTAGTACCAAAGGAAGGCAGTCGCGTAGTGCTCAAACAGCTTGCCGCACAACTGCACTATACACAACTGAAACAACCTAATTTCTAGGCAGTGCTACAAATGAACACTTTATCAGTATTTGGCTACACTGCACGACATCTAGCAAAAAAACGGCATAGTTTTTGTCACCGATATTAAATACCACACGTCATGTTTAGTGCGGTGACAGTAAAGTAACACATGACTACTGTCCATATGGCACATGTCTACCCTGAATGTGTAGAAAGAAAATTTTCAGTCGTACATTTACTACAAAATTTAATGTATCTACTCCATACACTGACTGTTCACGACCCGCAGACTATGCAATGCAGCAAGCAAGGTGTACAGCTGGAGTCCAATACAAGAAAAAATAAAAAGAGATACAAATGGGTAAGAATCAAGAAGGAGTCTGCGATGTTACTGCCAAGAATGAAGAAGTCGAAATCGCTACTTCAGAAGAAGTTAGAAAAAAATGACTGATATGATGCTCAGATATCGGAGTGAGTGGCAAGACACCGTGAAAGGACTACGGGAAAACCTCCAGGACGAGATGAATAGGTCTCTGGCATGAACGTGGGAAAGAACAGCAAAAGACGGCATTTTATGACAAAATCTTGGAGGCTTTAATGCAACAGTGAATCGAAAAACTGATCAGGTGATGGATGTTCACCATGATGAATTCAATCCTTTATCATCATCATCAGCCTTTTCTTATCCACTGCCGGATAAAGGCCTCTCCAAGACACTGCTCCACTTATCCGTCTTTTTTTGCCATTTTAATCCATTTTGATCTAGGCAACTTTGCCAGCTCATCGTGCCATCGATCTACAGGTCTTCCTGAGGGTCGTGCACTCGCTCCTGAAATCCATCCTAATGTTCCTTTGGCCTCCAACGGTGGTCGGTTCTTATTGTAACATGCCCGGCCATCGCCACTATAACTCCTTCACTCGGGCAGTCACATCGCAGAGACTTCTGTCTGTGCACCCACATCCATTCATTGCTCCTCCTGTCTTTTCCTAATATTGCCAACAAACATTATTTTACGTAGCGTTGCGTAATCTTCAGTTTATAACATTCAACCTTGGGATCTACGTTTCGCACCCACTGATTAACACTAGAAACATTTTCAGTCATCCGAGCATGCATTTATATCATTTTTATTTTTCACTGATTTCACGTAGTCGGGTTTTACTAGCAGAGATGAGCTGTCCCACACAAAGGTGGTTTTGCATTTCTCCAAGACTAAGTTTGATCATTAAAACAGGTCGTGGGGTCACGTATTTATAAAACATGACCTTCGTATTCTTCGTTGGAGTTTTTCCAGTAACCTTGAAAGGATCAGAATAATATCGTTTCGTAAATCGTAGATGGCTCAAATAGTGCCGATCTGTATCCAGCCATAACCATTCGAGTAAAATGTGCTGAAAACCTCTTCTATAGCTGCTATGGACAACGTAAGTGATATGCGTCTACCTGCCAAACGGATCTTTTAAAAATTTGCACGTGTTTGTGCCTCTGAAGCTTCACGACAGTTACGCTTGTGTAAAGCATGGCAATGAGGTCTTGATATCTTTTCTAGATTCTGTAACTCCTTAAGCAAAATAGTGAAGAACGGTTACAGAGGGAGTGGAAAAACTTCTCGCAACCAAAGAACCCCGAGGCAGAGAAGAAACACGTTCGTTGCTCGTTTGAATTTATCACCTAGAAATGATCCATCGCATGAAATCCACTTCTGAACCATGCTACGTAATTTTCCACTGGTTGTAACGAATCTAGATTTTAGATTAGTTTAACTGTTCGTCAGCATTTTTGTGAAGATGCTGCAAATGATCAATTAAAAACTGAGCGGACTGTAATTCTTCAAATTTTCCCTATTCCATCCTTTAAGACAGTAGAATCACAGATGTGGTAGTTCAAATATCTGGAATTTTCACTTCCTTCCAACAACGTAAAAATAAGCGCGCGCATGTCTTGGTCGGTGCTTCACCTCCTGATTCCTCGAGTTTCACTGTAATGCTGACTTTCCCAGCAGGATTTCCTCGCTTCGACTGTTTCATTGCATGTCTCACTTCTTCTGAATATCTGAAATTTCGTCGATTTAATTCTATGCTCAGGTTCGTTATCGTGATATAGGTTCATTAGGGTCATTGAATAACAATCAACGCATAAAATTTTCAAGCAGTAAAACAACGACAGCTTCATTGGAAGACACAGTAATCGATCAAAACACCGTTTACTACGACAGTCATGGCCGAGAACAGCAATGGGGAGCTGAAATTTGTATTATACAATTTAGTCGCAAGACTGCATGTAGTAATACAGCTGTATGCACTGGGCTACGCATTATGCCCATAATGTGTTAATATAACATCTATGCAGACTGCCGCATGACATTATGCAACATCTCTACTGTAAAGCATGGTAACCTGCAAAGTAACGATGGACTTGTGTGTCACATGACTACCATGGCATAAAACGTAGCATACGATATAACGAACTGCCTAGGGTAATTGGATGATGCTTACGACGTGGTTATGACCCGGACTGCTGGAACATATGCTTCGTGCATTAGTGGTCATACTGAAAAAATAACTTAAGAACGGTTTACTAATAAATAACGCAACATTATGGTCGATCAGATGAGAGACCAATGGCGACGCACCTTACAGGCCTTGCTTAAGGAAACGAAGAAGACTGGGAAGTTGTAATCGAAAAAATAAAAACATGTTACCATTGGAATGTCGGCCTTCCCGTTACACTTTACTGATGAGGCGATTTCTGGCGGCGTTCTTTCAATGGTGAGATGCTGATAGCCTTTCCTATGCCGTCCGCCGGGAGTGCTATATTTTAAAGACAGAGTTGGAAAGCATGGTGCGTAGTCTTCTGTTTCCTCACCACACAAAAGTATTCATTTATGAACCTCACAAGAACGAATGGCGAGTAACTCGACCAGGATTCGAATCAGGGATCTCTCGGTTCCGAGTTCGATGCTCTACCGACCCTGTCTACGACGCCTAGTAACCTAGGTCCAAGTCTAGTAGGGACGCATGACGTCTTCAAGAAGCACAGTGTTGCCAGAATTAGTACTCGACCGACCTCACTTCTTTCTCCTCTTGAAAGCGATCGAAACAAAGTAACCGTTGTACGTATCATATTATATACTAATATTTTATGAAATATTGAAGAAACATGAACAGGAGTGTAAAAGTCATTAGTAGTAGTGCAGTAGTCAAAAACTACAAATGTTCGATCACGAATTTGTCAAATCGTTTGGGAGATGCTGCCCGATTTCTCTTGGCGTTCCTTTCTTGCGCAAATCACTTACATTGTGTTCGTATAAAAAGTTTTTAAGCTACGAGTAAAATCGAAACTTGACGACTGTCTGAAACGTTAGAACAGCAGGTA